TCTCCATTTGTAGCTGACCTGGCGTAATGGTGGGTCGAACACGCACAACCTTTTTCAACTTTGCTTTTGTCAGGCTTCCTCTCGTACCCTTGGTTGACAAGAGTGCTCACCGATGTAAATCACTTTCATTTTGTGTGGCACCTGTCATTTTCCACATATTTGCGCGCAGAACATTTTATTTCTGATGCTACTGCTTTGCAATGTAAACAGGTTTTCTTCTTAGTGAAGTCAACCTTATTAGTTGCTTTGTGGATCTTCTTAAAAGGACAGGAAAGATTAGGGCATTCCATGGAGCCTTGACAGATCTGTAAGGTGCGTCTTCCTCCCTCACAGAAATCCTTTCTTTTACATGGCTGTGCGCGACCCCAGTTCCAGTCATCTGCAACAGCTGACAGAGGGTCCTTCTCATTGTACAGGACTTCATATTTAGCTGGGCCATTGGGAGTGGGTGGAACTGCTTTAACCATGGTATCTTCCATGTCATCAATCTCCTCCTGGTTCAGATATGTCCTGTTACCTTTCTGTATAAGCATACCTTCCCTGAAAAGGACAAAATGATACATCAAAAACGAGAAAAGTTCGATCACTGTGTCTCATCTAATTTGTGTGCATTGCATGCCTATGATGTTGTATAATCTAACTCTCTGCACGCAGTGCATGCCTATGATGCTGTATAATCTAACTTTCGAACTCTCTGAAGCAAAAACTCTTGCTGCTGCATTAAGTAACCATCCAACAATCAAAATTGAAGCATTTTCCATTAAATTTGTGTAAACTCACTTGTCATCAAAAAGAGCTTTGTTGGTGCTTTTTTTCTTTCATCTTCTTCAATTTTGAGAACTTTCACCTTTTTGTTGGCGTGTTTTCATTGGAACTTAAGCCTCTCAAACTGTTTGCTAAATCTTCAAGCACATCCTCCTGCAATAAATAAATAAATAAATAAATAAATAAATAAGAAATATTATAAATTAATAAAGGTAAAGGTAGTTAAAGTCTGCATACAAGACAAGTGGCCCATTAGGGTAAAACACTTTTAAAATAGGTTGGGCCGTGGTGATACTGGTATTTTCAGTCTTCTTTGTATGAAACATAATCAAGCAAGGTCAAGGTAAGTATGGATCTTGGGTTTTACTTATTTAGTTTGCAGGTAACATTCTTGTGGTAAAAGGCGTTGTTACCGTAACTTTTCGTTGTCGCTTACGCTTCCTTCCTCTTTCTTTCTCTTTTCTGTCTCTTTCCATAGAGCTTTCGTCATCCGAGCTTACAACTGTCACCTGTTTTGTCTTTTTATGCTTCCTTCTGTTGAACAGTTGGTCGCCTGAGGTTTCATCGCCAGAACTTAAAATGATGACATTTGGAGAGCCCTAAAAAAGTAAATGAATATAATAATGAAGGTAAACTTTAAGGATATATAGATTTCCTATAATGGGTTTAAGCACCTACCAGAATGTATTTCACTTCTTTACAGTATACGACATTAGTTTGACTACTGTTCAGTGGTCACCCAGACAAAGTTGACAAATCACACTGTACAGCCAAAATTATACAGCCAGTTATATTTAAAAATCAATCAATCTAATATTTTTGGCTAAAGAAAAGAAAAGATGCTGTTCTGCTTTGTGATTGGTTATCTTTGTCCGGGTGACCCAGGTAACAAGTCAGACTGTAAAACGTGTTGAAAGTTGTTTTTGTTTCATTGCAATTTTGTGTCAGCAACATTGATGTAGACATAACATTATAGCATTATAGCAGTAAAGACAGCAGTAAGCCACCTTAAATAAATGACAGAATTCCAGCCAGTGGTAAAAAGGGAATAACTAAATTACCAGGAAGATAATAAATAATGCCTCTGAAGACAAAAAAATGACCTACCATACTAGTAGTTTCAACTGGACCAATTTCCTCTTTAACATCCATAGTGGTGCGAAACTCTTGCTCCATGTCAACCTCTGAATCGCTCGAAGAAGTCAAACAATCAGCAGCTCCTTTTGAGGCATCAAGCTGTCAAAAAGGCATTAAAATGACTGAATGGACTGAACACAATAACGAATGCAAAATTGCAATAGTTCAGTCAACTATCCACATATTGACAAACAAATTATCACATTTAAGAGCAAATGAATAATTTATGACACAAGAACTCGTAGCTTACCTTCAACGGGGTTCCTTAAAAATGCTCACTCCAGGATTATATTCTTCTGGCCATCATGGTGAAACTGAGGTGCATTACGATGCTTTTCAGTACCTGACAATGATATTCATAATCAGCTAATGGTGTGATAACTGTCAAGCATATCAAGGAACATCACTAATGCAAAGCATTACACTGTATAATAAAATTTTGTCTGGAACTATTCTGCATAAATAGGGATTGTGTTTATGCTGGTGTTAAAAAAAATCACTGCATCTAGTGTAAATGGCCTTTAAAAGCAATTATAATACTTTGGTGTGCTGTACCATACAAACTGTAAGAGCCATACAACAAATTTTAACAATTTCA